ATCTATTAAAAAAATAAAATGTGCATTCCAAAATGTGTCAAGAGAGAGACTTTCTTCCAAAAACTGGTGCCATATGCACTAACAGACAAAATGATGACCAGATGAAGAGGAAACATTTGACCACATGGACAAAAATGTCCATAATGATGCATGAGGGTTAAACTAACAGTCGGGACTGGAACATGATCTGAGCCTGTCAGAACATGTCAGAGATTTCAGTTCTTCTGGTTTAAGAAAACAGCTAAAGAGGAAGTGGGCGTGGCCACTGAGAGGCCATCCATTGGTTCACAGCTTCTGCTTTAATGCTGCATTCAGGTGCTCCACGATCGGTAGCCGATAACGAGTGTACGGTGAAGAAGTTATATTTCAGCTATACGGGAATTTATAAAAAGTATCTGAACTTTAAAACATGAGTTTCTGAGTCGGTGCTTCAACTTGAGCAGGCGTTCGTGTGCAATTCACAACTCTGACCCTTGTTTTTCCAATGTTACAATTCACTCAGCAGACGCTTTTATCCAAAGTGACGTACATCGTGGTCGTATTTGAAGGGAAAGGGCGGAGTTGGAGAGGTGGGCGGGGTTAGCATGCTAAGTATGGAGCTTCATACCTGCGATTAAAAATGTGATTAATGGTGATTTACTGTCAGACTTTAGTGATTAAGTGCCATTAAAAAAAAGTTTAGTTAGACAGCCCAAGTTTGAAAATGTTCGTTAATGCATGTGTTTGACTTGCAGGGGGAGCCAAACACAAAACCTGGACAGGATGTGTGTCACACTGAGGTGAGTCCACTCTGTCACTTCACCCTCAGTTCAGCCTGTCAGGCTGAAATCCACCTGCCGACGTTTTCAGGTGTGATGCAGCTAAAGGAGGAGGGGCCAGGAAACAGGAAGTGTGAGGGCTAACATCATGCTAACTAACAGCAGGATTACCCCCCCCCCCCACAGGATTCTGATACAGAGCTGACTCCTCGCTGCAGCCAATCAGAATGCTTCTTCTTCTGTCTGCAGGAACGACCGGCCAGAAAGCTTCTCTGGTTGCAGGTGATAACAGGAGGACTTGTCTCCATGGCGACAGGACTGAATGTGTTTCCACAGAGAGAGAATAACCCTGATGAGAGAGGAGGAGGTCTGACAGCTGATTGGTTACTGGTTTGATTATTGATTGATTCCAGATCAGAGAATAAAACTGTTTAATGAAAAAAAAAAAAGTGTCAAAGATCATGTAAAGAGTCCCATCGCTATGACAACCAGCTCACATTAACTGATGCTACAGACACAAAACACTGATTTAAAGAGCTATCATCACATGAGTCCATTAGTCTGTGTGCTGCATGTTTACTGTCCAGTCAGCAACTTGAGAAGAAAACAACAAACACTGATTGGTTCATTACATCCCCCTGAGCAGCGTCTGTTCATCTGTTTCCTGTGCGTCTCACTGTGACTGTAACTCGTCTAAAGGTAAGTCAAACTCATTCAAACACTTTTATCTTAAACTGCAAACTCAATGACATCGTTGACCTGCAGACAGAGTGTGGCTAACGCTAGCAGTGTTAGCACGTCCAGGTCGTCCTGCAGGTGTCTGTGTTGAATGTATTGAAGACTCACCTGTTTACAGCTGTCTTTCATTAAACAGCTTTAATAAGATTTTAAACTTTAACTGTGCACTGTAATTATTATTATTTTTTTAACTCTTTTAATTTCTTTCTAATTAATTTCATTTGAATTATTTTTATTTGAACATATGTTCAGATTTAATCATTTCAGTGATTTGAATGTTTCTTTTCTTTCCTCTGTCATGATGCTTTTCATGTGTGAAGCACTTTGCCTTGTTGTTGAAATGTGCAACATAAATAAACTCGCCTTGCTCCAGTTGATTTCCCGTTTGAGCTGACAGCCTATAAAACACTTCATCTCCGTGTTCTGATGTGAACACTGACAGACCGCTCTGCTCCTCTTCTCTGAGCTTTGTTTACATCCAGGTAGAGGAGCGAGGAGGGCCGGCCCAGCAAGTGAGACTTTTTGATCCAGTAGGTGTCGCCCTTGAGCTCCAGCATGAAACCAAAACAAACTTTCTGTTAGGCACGCCTCCTCCATCCTGAAGCCTCCGCTCTCCTCCAGAGACACACCTCCAACCCCCTCCACTCACGTTCACACGGAGGAGTCGAGTGCAAGTCGTGGACAAACTAGTCCTGGTTAATCACATAAATAAAAGCAACGGCAGCTGATGTGTTGACCTGTGTTTGACCTTCAGCTGTCCTCTGACGGTCTGAAGTGGCCGTTTCCATGGAAACCAAGGTCAGAAATATAGAGAGAGAGATGTCTGTGTGTGTGTGTGTGTGTGTGTGTGTGTGTGTGTGGTGTGTGTGTGTGTGTGTGTGTGTGTGTGTGTGTGTGTGTGTGTGTGTGTGTGTATACAGGTTGATCAGCTGAAGAACCAAGAAAACCGCTGGCCTTCAGAATAAGAGCCCAGCATCATAAAAGCTTTATTGTGAAGGGATTTGACTTCCTGTAATACCTGTAGATATAATATTCAGACGCCTTCAGGGAAGTCGACACATTCGTCTAAATCTAAATAAATACATTTTAATACAGAAGTCAAGGCAGGAGCTTTTATTTTGAAGGCTCGTCGGTGTCGCTTCTGTGCGGCTGTGCGTGTTGACGTGTGTTGACGCAGCGGGTGGCTGCTGGTGCGTCAGGAGGAGACGGAGATGCATAACAGCAGCATCAGCTCCGGTTCTGTTCGCTCCGCTCTCACCTGAACCGCTCCACTCCGGGACAACGCTCATGGTCTGCCCGCTCACAGCGCCTCAACCCCGGCATCCATCCCAGCAGAGGAGCGGCGGCAGCATCTGGAGCGGAGGTAAGAGATGAAGAGGAGGAGGAGGAGGAGGAGGAGGCAGGGCGTGGAGGAGGGAAGAGAGACCTGTCTGTGTGTCTCCTGTCTATCTTTCCCGTTATCTCTCTGCCTCTCCTGTCTCTCTCTCCCCTGTCTCTCTGCCTGTCTGTCTCTCTGTCTCTCTCTCTCTTCCTCCTGTCTGTCGGCTCCTCCAGCGGCTCCATGTCCGGCCTTGTAGCGCGGATGGAGCGCTGAGGCCGGTTGGATGTTCCTGGGTGTGTTAGTGGAGCATATGACTGCGGTGTGTCAGGTCATGTCCACAGACAGGTTTAGTCCGGGGTGTGTCCCGTTCAGGTGATCTGAGACGTCACAGTCACAGTGCTGATGAAGGTGAGGATGAAGATGGTGATGACGTCACAGAGGTGAACAGGTTGCCCTGCTCTTCAAACAGATGAGATCACTAACAGAAACATATGCACCTGCTGTATTCATATACGGGTGTTTATATATTAATAATTGTATTTATTTAAATGTGGTCCTCCCTTTACTTTCAGCCCGTCTCCACTTCTTATTTAGTGATTCTGTTCTTTTTTGCATGTTGATATTTTCTCTCTTTTATTTTGACAGCTTCCTGAGCAGTTTTATTATTTTTATCATTTTTATGAATTTTTAAATCCTGTTGTAGTTTTTGTTGAGAGAGCCTCCCTCTCTGTCAGATCTGATCATCAGACCTCCTTAGTCAGGGTGGTCACATGACCTTGATCACATGACCCCCCCCTTGGTTCATCTCAAGGGTCTGTCCATCAAATAAACAGAATTTCTCACCTCAGAATATTATAATAATATAATATCTGAAGACCGGCCTCGAGACCCCTTTTTGAAGGTCTCGGAATCAAAAGCATTTTCACTCGGTCTCAGTGGGACAGACTTCAAATGAAGACCGGTCAGGACCACCACTGATCGGTCTTCATTACTGGTACTGCGTTAGAAGACAAACGCTCCTTTCTAAAAGAACAAGTAACTTCAATTCATCTGATTTTGAACTCCGTCCCGGTGTGACGGTCTACGTGAAGGACACGCCCCCTAAACAAGATGATTTCTGATGTTTATGGTCTTGATCTTGATCGGTCCAGATCCCTAAATGTCTTTGTCTTGGTATTGACTCGGTCCAGATCCCTAAATGTCTTGGTCTTGATCTTGATCGGTCCAGATCCCTAAATGTCTTTGTCTTGGTATTGACTCGGTCCAGATCCCTAAATGTCTTGGTCTTGATCTTGATCGGTCCAGATCCCTAAATGTCTTTGTCTTGGTATTGACTCGGTCCAGATCCCTAAATGTCTTGGTCTTGGTCTTGACTCGGTCCAGATCCCTAAATGTCTTTGTCTTGGTATTGACTCGGTCCAGATCCCTAAATGTCTTTGTCTTGGTATTGACTCGGTCCAGATCCCTAAATGTCTTTGTCTTGGTATTGACTCGGTCCAGATCCCTAAATGTCTTGGTCTTGGTATTGACTCGGTCCAGATCCCTAAATGTCTTGGTCTTGGTCTTCACTCGGTCCAGATCCCTAAATGTCTTGGTCTTGGTATTGACTCGGTCCAGATCCCTAAATGTCTTGGTCTTGGTCTTCACTCGGTCCAGATCCCTAAATGTCTTGGTCTTGTTCTTGACTCGGTCCAGATCCCTAAATGTCTTGGTCTTGTTCTTGACTCGGTCCAGATCCCTAAATGTCTTGGTCTTGGTCTTGACTCGGTCCAGATCCCTAAATGTCTTTGTCTTGTTCTTGACTCGGTCCAGATCCCTAAATGTCTTTGTCTTGGTATTGACTCGGTCCAGATCCCTAAATGTCTTTGTCTTGGTCTTGACTCGGTCCAGATCCCTAAATGTCTTTGTCTTGGTATTGACTCGGTCCAGATCCCTAAATGTCTTTGTCTTGGTCTTGACTCGGTCCAGATCCCTAAATGTCTTTGTCTTGGTATTGACTCGGTCCAGATCCCTAAATGTCTTTGTCTTGGTATTGACTCGGTCCAGATCCCTAAATGTCTTTGTCTTGGTATTGACTCGGTCCAGATCCCTAAATGTCTTTGTCTTGGTATTGACTCGGTCCAGATCCCTAAATGTCTTGGTCTTGGTATTGACTCGGTCCAGATCCCTAAATGTCTTGGTCTTGGTCTTGACTCGGTCCAGATCCCTAAATGTCTTGGTCTTGGTATTGACTCGGTCCAGATCCCTAAATGTCTTGGTCTTGGTCTTCACTCGGTCCAGATCCCTAAATGTCTTGGTCTTGTTCTTGACTCGGTCCAGATCCCTAAATGTCTTGGTCTTGTTCTTGACTCGGTCCAGATCCCTAAATGTCTTGGTCTTGGTCTTGACTCGGTCCAGATCCCTAAATGTCTTTGTCTTGTTCTTGACTCGGTCCAGATCCCTAAATGTCTTGGTCTTGTTCTTGACTCGGTCCAGATCCCTAAATGTCTTGGTCTTGGTCTTGACTCGGTCCAGATCCCTAAATGTCTTTGTCTTGTTCTTGACTCGGTCCAGATCCCTAAATGTCTTTGTCTTGTTCTTGACTCGGTCCAGATCCCTAAATGTCTTTGTCTTGGTATTGACTCGGTCCAGATCCCTAAATGTCTTTGTCTTGGTATTGACTCGGTCCAGATCCCTAAATGTCTTGGTCTTGGTCTTCACTCGGTCCAGATCCCTAAATGTCTTGGTCTTGGTCTTCACTCGGTCCAGATCCCTACATGTCTTGGTCTTGTCGGAGCACTCTGGTCTTGGGTCTGTCTTGGTCTCGGTTAGTGTGGTCTTGTGTCTGACCCTCTTTCTCTCTCTCTTCCTCTCTCTTTCTCTCTATCCTCGGTTTCCCAGGATGCACTGGGGTCTCCCAGCAGGCCTGTGAAGATGAGTGTGACCTCGTGGTTCCTGGTGAGCAGCTCGGGGACTCGACACCGCCTCCCCAGAGAGATGATCTTTGTGGGCCGAGAGGACTGTGAGCTCATGCTGCAGGTAAGACCGGCCAATCACAGCGGCCAATCACAGCGGCCAATCAGATCCACCGATTCAGAGTCTGTATGAAACACAGACATTTTAACATAGAGCTCTATGAGGACTGACTCACTACAGGAGACAGACTCTAGTGGACACTGGAGGAACTGCATCTGTAAAGTTAGACATTTTAACATGGGGCTCTATGAGGACTGACTCACTGCAGGAGACAGACTCTAGTGGACACTGGAGGAACTGCAGCTGTAAAGTTAGACATTTTAACATGGAGCTCTATGAGGACTGACTCACTGCAGGAGACAGACTCTAGTGGAGGAACTGCAGCTGTAAAGTTAGACATTTTAACATGGAGCTCTATGAGGACTGACTCACTGCAGGAGACAGACTCTAGTGGACACTGGAGGAACTGCAGTATTTATTTTCATATTGAAAATCTTTGTGTTGTTTCAGTCCCGCAGTGTGGACAAACAGCATGCCGTCATCAACTACAACCCGACTACAGACCAACACCTGGTCAAAGACCTGGGCAGCCTCAACGGGGTGAGACTACTACACAAACAAACACACAGCTGGCAGTATGAAGCAGAGTGAAGGTGACTTTATGTTTCTATGTTTCAGACGTTTGTGAACGACCTGAGGATTCCTGATCAGACCTACATCACCCTCAAACTGTCCGACATCATCCGCTTCGGATACGATATCCTCCTGTGTTCTGTGTGTCTGTGTGTGTGTGTGTGTGTGTGTGTGTAAATCAACAGTCAGGTAAAGTTCATGTTAAGATCAGCAGGAAGTCCAGTGTTTGGCTGTTAAACGATCGTTCAGGGTTCATAGATTATGGAGTTGATTTGTTTGTTCTGACAAAGTGAGTGGTTTTTTTCTTAACGGTCTCTTCACATTCTCACGTCTATATCCTCGAGAAAAGTCAACACAAAGTTCCAGAGGAGGCTCTGAAGGTCAGTGTGTGTGTGTGTGTGTGTGTGTTGTGTGTGTGTGTGTGTGTGTGTGTGTGTGTGTGTGTGTGTGTGTGTGTGTGTGTGTGTGTGTGTGTGTGTGTGTGTTATTAGACACTGTGTCACAGCACCTCCTGTTGTTGCAGCATGAGAAGTACAGCAGTCAGCTGCAGATGAGCCTGAAGGCTGCAGAGGGAAACAAGGTGGAGGCCGATGAGAAACCACGAGCCGAGAAGACCCCGAGTACCAAGAGTCTGACACAAGGTACTGCAAAAAATACTCTGCAAAAAATACACTACCAAAAATACTCTGCAAAAAAATACACTGCAAAAAAATACTCTGCAAAAAAATACACTACCAAAAATACTCTGCAAAAAAATACACTGCAAAAAATACACTGCAATAAATACTCGGCAAATAATAATCGGCAAAAAAATACTCTTCAAAGAATAATCTGCAAAAAAATACTTTTCAAAAATACTCTTCAAAAAATACACTTCAAACCGTACTGCAAAAATAATGCAACCCTAAACAAACGA